CGGTGCGTTGAGTGTGAGCCTTTGCCTGGCAGGGGCAAAGCTGAGGAGCGGTGAGGCCGGACGTCTGGGGGGCGGGCCGCAGCTACTAGTTCAGTAGCTAATGCCTACGTGGCTGGGGAGAGGGGGGCGCTGGTCCCACACACCTCAGCTCAGGGTCCTAGAGACCTGCGGGTTTTACTGGCCGCTCAGGTCTCCCCCACTTCCCTACCGCACTTAGCCATCACTTGCACCTTATCTCCCAAACTGAGGCCCTGAGGTCCCTCTGTCCATATCGCACCCGCTCCAAAGTCTTGAAACCCCTCTTTCCTTAGCAACCGGACTCCTGAACTTCCCCAGAATACTGGTTTCTAGGGGGTCTGGAGGTTGAGAGATGGACAAGTCTTCCAGATGGTCTCGGGGCAGTTCCTGCTGTGCGGGTGGAATGGGAAGGCCAGTGAGGGGGCAGAGAGAGAGGTCTGACCCCAATACCTGAGGGCACTAACTTCCTCATCCTTCCCACTTCTCAGCTGAAGAAGCTGGACCTGGCAGCCGCCGCAGCACACACCTTCTTTGTAGCAAACCCAACACACCTCCAGATGCGGGAGGACATGGCCAAGTACAGACGTATGTCTAGGGTGCGGCCCCAGAGCTTCCGGGACCTGGAGACTCCCCCATACTGGGTGAGACCCTTTGACTGGCTGGGTCCATGGGGCTCACTGGGCTCTGACCTGTGTAGCTCAGGTGTCAGGAGATGCGTGTCCTCAGTAACCCTGGATGGAGAGTCCCTCTCTGGGACTTAGCTTTCTTCCTGAGAATCACTCAAGTCCCGTGTTCTACCATTCCGATCCTGAGACCCACCCTATATTCCCCAAGGTGAAGTGGGGTCAGGAGTCCATGCCCCAAATGAGACCAACGCCCCGCCCCTTCTTTCTACCCCCCAATCTTGTTTGGCACCCTGCCCCCAGGATCTCTGGTGACCGCCCACCCCCCTCCCCGACAGGCAGCCTATGACGATGGCCTGGAGCTACTGGGGCGTCAGGAAGCAGGACTGGCACTGCCCCGGCTAGAGGAGGCCCTGCAGGAGAGCCTGGCCCAGGTGGAGAGCTGCCGGGCTGGCTGTGAGGGGCCTGAGGAGCAGCAAAGGGAGGAAGAAGAGGAGGAAGGGACTGGAGGCCAGGGGGGCCTCTATGAGACCATTGCAGGTAAGGAGCTGGGGGTTTGTGGTGCCACGGAGAGAGGCATCACAAGCTGAATGGTTCACCTGTGTCCTCTGCAGGGCACTGGATTCGGGTCCTACAGTGCCGGCAGCGCTGTGTGGGGGACACAGCCACACGTCCTGGCCGCAGCTTCCCTGTCCCTGACTTCCTTCCCAGCCAGCTGAGGCGGCTGCACGAGGCCCATGCTCAGGGTCAGTTGGGGAAGGGTGACTGGGGTTGGAAACAGGGGAAGTGAAGCTTTGCCTCTGATGGTATCCTGAGCCCCATGTCTGCATCCCTCCCATCTGTCTCTGGATCTCTAGTCGGTCAGGGCTCCGTGGGGACCATCACTTCAGGAGAACTCTCGTTTGCTCTCCTTTGGCGCCGTTGTGGAAAGCTCGGGAGATGGGTCACAGGGCTCCTTCTGCCCTTGCTGCTTCTCACCTTCCTTTAATCTCTCCTCTCTTCCTCCCCTTTGAACTCTGCCTGTACAGCACAGGTATGTTTGAGTAAGCTTTGGAAAGAAGCAATGGATGAGTGTGCCTGCCAGGGGGAATGGGGGCTCTGGAGTTGTTTGGCATTGGGAGACCACCTTCTTTGGCTCGGCCTCTGTCTCCCCGTCTTCTCTGCCTCTGCCCAGGGGTCACTGCCCTTCTCAGTCTCTGGGCCCCACCCCCACCCTCTTGCTCTGTCTCCAGTGGGGAATCTGTCCCAGGCTATGGAAAATGTCCTGAGTGTCCTGCTCTTCTACCCGGAAGATGAGGCTGCCAAGAAGGCTCTGAACCAGTATCAGGCCCAGCTGGGAGAGCCGAGACCTGGCCTCGGGCCAAGAGAGGTAACCCCCTGCTCCATCCTTACTCTGTGAGGTAACCCGAAATCAAATATACCTGCGGAGTCACCCGGACTCTGTCTCCCCATCTGGTCCACTACAGGCAACCCCAGATCCTCATCGGACTTGTCTCCGCTCCCTGCCCCCCACTTCAGACTCTCCTTCCCGAGTCCATGTGCCAGCCATCCCCCTTCCTTGAACTTCACCACTCCTTGCCCCTGCCTTATGTGTCCTCCTGTGCGTGCACACAGATGCGCGCACACACACACACTCCTCCCCCACCATCCTCCAGCCTTAACTTCCCTGCCCCACTCTCCTTGTCTCACCCCCTTCTCCCTGCTTCCCACCCTGCCTCAGGACATCCGGCAATTCATCCTTCGATCCTTGGGGGAGAAGAGACAGCTCTACTACGCCATGGAGCACCTGGGGACCAGCTTCAAGGATCCTGTGAGTATCTCCCCTTCTCTCCATCCTACCCTTCAGTGCGCCCCCAGGAGGAGGAGAACAGTGATGCCCTCCATTTGTTTCCCACCCTCCCTGGGAGGCTTGGAGAGGAGTCTGCATTCCCAGATTTTCAGGGACAGAGGCAGGTACCTGTAGTAGAGGGCACCTTTGGGGTCATGCAGGCCTAGGTGTTGGTCTCTTCTCTGCCATACACAAGCTCTGGAGCCTCACTCGCCTCAGCCTCAATTTCCTTACCTGTAAAATGGGAACATCACACCTGTCTCATGGGACTCTTGAAACCATAGCACTAGCTAGAAATTAGAGAAAGTTCTGTTGTTGCTGCTTTCAATACTATTCTTTTTATTGTAGTCATACGAGGAAATGAAAGGGCAGAGTTTTGTTCATTGCTAGGATGATAGCATAAAGCAGGTTTTCTCAACCTTCTTGGCACCATTGACTTTTTTGACTTGATAATTCTTTGTAGAGGATCAGAAGGGGGCTTTCCTAGGCATTGTAGAATGTTCAGCAGCTCCCCTGGCCTCTACCCAATAGATGTCAATAGCA